ATCTACATTAAAAGAAGATTAGACTTAATATCACAATGAACTAGCAATAATATGTGATAATTGAAATTAAATCACCTTGATGGATGCGCATAAAATCTCTTAGCTATATCTAATCTTCCCATCGGCATGCCAAACAAGAAGAAAATCTGATGGGTTGCGTGAAAGAATCAATCTTGTGCTACACATCACTTTTTGTATTTTTGCATGAGCATATATAGCTCGCTCGATTTCACAGCTCTGATACTATTATATGATCGATTTAAAAACAATCATATATTCCTTAAAAGTACAAATCGAAATGATAAAGATTTTGAGAGATATATACCCTTATTTATGTATGTATATGTGTATATAATCTCTCAAAATCTTTATCATTTCAATGTGTACTTTTAAGGAATATATGATTGTTTGTTAAATCGATCATATAATAGTATCAATTAACTTAATATTATTGTAAATTGCACATCTGAGTGCAACAAAGTTAGCTGAAACAGTGTTCTCTTCTTTTTCACGTAAGTTTTAATCTCCGTTTTCGTTATATATATATATATATATATGTATTTATATATTAGATTAAAAATTCACTCAATTAAAAGAAAATATCATTGTGATTAGTGAACAAATAATATACCAAAAAGAAGAATACATCAGATTGTACTATGTGAAAATTTAATGAGCGATGATTATCGTATGACATTACTAAATACTAATTCACATATTTAAATATAACTCGTGCTGTGATACGAGAGAGTGAGTTGTTTACCGTAACACTATGTGAGGTTCGATTTCTGATAATTAAGAAATTTGAAAAAGCAAAGATACAAGTCATGACCAAATGGTCACTTGAAACGGTGCCTTTTAGCCCATACGAGGATGCTACAAATTCATGGTATATATTTGCATGATTTGATGGTTATCTAAAGTCCAAAACCTATGCGTTCCATGTAATATATTTCTTCTTCCACGATCAACATGTGGGGTGTCAAACCTTATGCATGCAAATTTGTTTCTCTTATCCGACTTCCACCATGTGCTAGTATGGACACCAGTTTGTCACTTTCGTGAATGTTCACAAAACTTAATAATGATTATCAAAGTTGATTAGAAAATTACAAAAACAATAAGCTTAATTAGCAACTCCATAACCACTGCAGCTGACAGTTGGCTCACACGGTAACGAAGTAAGTTATCGATGATTAATTAGCAAATCTTCGTTTTGTTAGGGCTACTTATCCATTAGTTTAGGAAGATTAAAAAAATTTAGGTTTAGCAACAGGGATGGATGTACATTAGGACCACGCGGAGTTTGAAAAATATACATATGAAGTTCTTTCAAGGACCCCTTGAATGTTTGGTAGGTTCTTTTTGTGTCTACCAAGTGTTTCATGTAATATATGCTAGTCATATCTTGATTAGTTGCGTTGAAAAATTTTCTCGATATCACTAATCAATTGCTTCCACATAAGTCGATATTTGTTGACATGTGTGGAACCTAGTTTAGTTCGAATCTTGAATCTGTCACTTGTGAGCAATACATTCTGAATTTGACGATGAAGAATTCTAAGTTCAACACATCTAAACATGGTGGAAAGAAAGGGAAAGGAGAGAATATACGTATTGTTTAAGCTCTCTCCCATGTGGTTTGATGCCCTAGAGAGATAGCCAACCACCCATAAGAAAAATGTAAACCCAAAAGAAAGCTTAAGCACCAACCTAACCTAACTGATCTAAATTGGATTTAAGAGATCTATTAATTGGATTTTGACATGCTAAAAAGTATATTGGATGCTGATTTTTAATTTAGATCATATATAGCTCTAAATAAATCATGAACTTAATTAGTCAGGATATGTCTGAAAGTGTTTACGCAAGAAACTTTTCTGTTTTTAAGCGCTTTTGTACAAAAGTTGAATATGTAGAACTCTTCTAAGAACAAGGTTAAACAAACTATTATTTATAGAAATGAGATCCTCACATACTCATACCACAATTCGTGACACTTTTATAAATCATGATCAGATTTCTATAACTCCAATATTTTTTGGTCAATCATTTTTTCATAAAATCTCCCTCACACCGTCCAAATTCTCGAAAAATACCACAAAATTATTTCTAAACTATCAAAGGATCATATACATTTCTTGAAAGACAAATTAATTGAGCAATTGATTTTGTATTTGGCCCGCCAATTAAGCAACCGTGTTCCTAAGCACCCACCCCCATGTGCACTTGGCCTTCCATAAAATAAGCAAAGAGAAGCCATGCTCATAGAGTCATATTGTCCCCCTTGTGGCATCCTCTCATTGGCCGACCAGTCTTACTTTTTGCAACACTCCGGGCGGCTTGTATTTTATTGATGTCGTTATTATATTTTGCCCTAGTTAATATAATGCACATTTGCCTAATTATTACTTGTATATATTAAGTTGCCAACTCCAACACTCTCAACTACCCATTTCCTTTCATTTCTCCTGAGCAGTTTGAGTAGTTGAGAGAAAAAGCACAACAGAAGTGCTTGTAAAAAAAGCAGAGAAAATTTGAAAAATGATTAAGCTGAGGTCAAACAGGTTTTGCAGAAGCTTTAGCAGTTGCAAGCTCATCAGCAGTAGCAATAGTAAAAGCAAGAGTAAAGCTGCTGATCAAAAGGAGCTTGGAGGAGGCAATATTATTAGCAATGGTGAAATCAAATGGGAGCGTCGACCGGGAGGCATGCTTGTTCAGACCAGGGAGACGGCGGCTGAAAGCCGTGCCGGAGAAGGCATGATCACGGTTCGAGTGTCATCTGTGTCTCATTTCCATGATATCTCCATTGAAGCCACTTCCACATTTGGTAATACGCCTTCTTTCACATTATTTAGCGAAACTTACCTAAACGGGGTATCACTGTTGTCTGTAGCGGTAGTTATAATGAATCACACACTATCATATGTTTTAAATTCTCACATAGCAGTGCGTGATTAACTTTAGATACTGTTACAATAACATCGCTAGGACTGTTCTTTTCTCTATATATGAGCCATAAATGCAAATAATCAAATCCTAATTGGCTTTGATTCATTTGTTCTCTGCAGGCGAATTAAAGATGATATTGTCACTGGTGACCGGTATGGAGGCAAGAGAGCAAAGACTTCTTTACAAAGGAAAACAAAGAGAGGATGGGGAATATTTACACATGGTTGGAGTTAGAGACAAGGAGAAAGTGCTTCTGCTCCAAGATCCAGCTATCAAGGAATTGAAGCTTCTTCATGGAACTGGAACTCCTACGACTTGTCGTTCAATTCGTGTTTGAGAAATTGAGAATCATGAGATTATCTTTAATTAATCTCTGTTCATTACTAACCGAGAAAGTTTAATATGCCTTCCTCTCATGGAGAAAAATGACAAAGAGGGCAGCTGCACACTTAATTAATAGAACCAAAATGTAAACATGTCTCATGTTTTTGTAACATGTCTTATGATTGATGTGATCGATGATCCTTCTGAAGTTTTTCTCCCTCTCACGACTTGGCTAGCTAGATTATCTAGGGACTTTAATTTCATGTACCATTTTGTGTGGGTTGGAGCTTTCTGCAACTAAAAATTGTAAGTTGCTGAATGCTGATGCATGTCCTTGTAAGCTTTGTAATGACTGAAGGCATAAACTCTGCTAATGTTTATAAAAAATGATATGTTGATTCCACTTTCTTTCTTTTCCTCATTGTAAAAATGTAGGATATTGGTCCATTTGGTTTTGCCAAAGGACGATCAAAGGTTTCAAAATTGTGATGCTTTCTATGTTTCAACTTTCAATTGCATAGTATATTCACCCGCGCGTGCACGCCCGCACAAAAGCTAAAGCTAAGCTAAAATGTGCTTTTAAAAGTATGCTAAGGAGATCCTCTAAAATATGACTATGTATGAATTCTCTGTCACCTTACAATTTAAAGTTAATTTTCATGTCATGATTATAAAACACCGTGCCAAAAAAATGAGATGCAGAGAGTTCCACTTTTAAAAACCTCCTTAACATCTTTCTAAAAGTAAAGAAATCCTTGAGTCCAATAAATTGATCGTGTTACCTGTATGACCTCAATATTGGAAGAGTTATGCTTTGTGAGTAGGTGGATGGATGACGTGGATCATTTGTTAAACTTAATAATTGTAAAGCAATTAAGAAAGGATTTGCATAAAACTAGAATATCCTTATAGTGTTTCAAGTCAATCATGTGTTGCTATGCAATAAAATTAAAACCCATATGAGTTTGGAATGCCAAAGTGTCAGTATCGTTTTTTTATCACGAGTCTCCCCCCACAAATTGAGATATTTAATTGTAACAACTAAAAAGTGAAGGGTAATGTTAGAAAGATTAAATTTTGTAAATTAAATGATATGAAAGTTGACGATTGAATTATTATTTAAGTGTTTATTAACATACTGATTTTTATTAGAAATACATAATTTAATTTGCCAATTTAATCTGTAAATTTAATCTGTCTACCATTACTCAAGAATAAAAGAATTTTGAACTCGGATAAAATTTAACACCTTATTCATTAAAATATTACGGCGCATGCAGATGCTTAATTACTTAAGTGGGGTTTAATTACAGATCAAATAAGTGAGTGCACGAGTACAACGTACACTTAAAGTTCAATTAACAAAATGCAGGGCAACTAACTGGTCCCATGCCACTGTGACAGTCGTTAGGCCGAATTCTAGGAAGACATTCTGTTTGTGCCACAACTGAACAGGGAAACAACTTCATAAGCTTTTGGCTTTTGGCTTTTGGCAAGTGGCCGGCAGCAAAAGCACAATGGTTTTCCAAACCAAACTTGTTCAAATGTTGTATTTGAATTTTAAACCTTTTGTTTACTTTCTTTTAGACGGGATTATTGTTTAGACAAATCCCTATGGTTTGCTCCATCCATGTCCCAACGCTTTAATTCAACCAGAAACATAGACCCTAAATAATTGATTCCACGGTTTGATTTATATTCAATATAAACACGGCAATTAAACATGCACAAACTATCACATTTTATTAAAAACCACACATCATACGCAGACTTAGACGTAGCTAAGTTCATTAAAACAGTAAGACTTCTCTCTCCGAATTAAAGTTCAACTGAAAACCAAAAAACCACGCTTACCACACACGAAACATTTTATTATCACACATTGTCACATGATTATCTGTGAAACTATCGTTTAATTAATTTCCTTCAATCTGAATAACCTTCTTTGGAGGTTTTTGAACTTCATGCTTGGGAATAGTGACCTTTAGAACCCCATTCTCCATAGATGCCTTAACTTCATCTGTCTTGGCATTTTCCGGCAGCCGGAACCTCCTTAGGAACTTGCCCCGGAAACGTTCGACACGGTGAAACCTATCTTTACGATCCTTACTCTTCTCATCTTTTTCTTCTTCATTCCTCTCGCCACTTATCTGGAGCACTCTTCCATCAGTAACCTCCACCTTGACCTCCTCCTTCTTCAGCCCCGGAAGGTCGAAAACAAACACATGGGCGTCTAGGGTTTCCTTCCAGTCAGTTGGGGTGTTGAGGACAGGACACTTGTTGACCATGGAGAGAAATGGGTCGAATATTTCATCGCCAAACACTTGGGAAATGAGTGACATTTTGTATGATTAGCAAAGGCTAAGATCGATGATTAGGAAGAGATTAGTTTGCTGGTGTTGCTGATTAATTTGGTTGCAGGAGAGATTTATATATATATGGAGTTATGGAGTTGGATGGATGCGTCTTGAACTTTCTAATTACTAGTATATAGTTATCTTCGGATTTTTATTAAAGATAACATGTTCTACGATGTTCGATCAATGAGTAGGTGAATTGCTTGAACATTCTATCGGCTACTAGAACATGCATGAACGTCACTTTCTAAATGTTGGGCTCTAACTGAAATCATTGGGCTGAAAAAAGAGATAAAGCCCACATTTTGGGGATGACATTTGTTTTACAAGACGATATCCTTCTTTATTTTTTGTTTTTCTCTTTTCTTTGATACAAAGATATAATTACAGTAAGACCTAAGAAATAAATTGGTTTTCAATTTATAATCCATGAGATTTGAATTTAAGATTTCTCCTTACAAGTGAAGATGAATATTACTAATCATAATATTATATGACCATTAGACGGTATTCTAAATTATTTTAGTTCATAGAAGATTTCGAACTTAAAGGAAGGGAACGAACATACTATATGAGCCAATTGACGGAATTCACGCTTGGAGCGACTTTAAAAGGCGGTAGCTGGTAGTTGCACATGATTGATCTAAAGAAGTGGGGAAAAGGCATTGTTGTACTATTGGAGATGCATTTTGCTAGGTGAGTGAATGATGACCATGTTTCAAAACATAGAGGCATACATAGAGGGTTGCAGGAGTACTATTTTCTGGTGCCAATATAGCAGCCTCACCATGTTTCCTCCAAAGATATATATATCCTAAATCAAAACCATTCATCTCTAAATCAAACGTTACAAATTGAACCCGAAAAACAGGAGAGGAGGGGAAGGGTATATGGAACGTGCCCAGCATCCTCTTGAATGTATAAATTATTTGAGCTAGCTAGCTCCAAATTAAACGATCGATGGTCTTCTTGTTGTTGACAGAAGATAGAGAGTACAAATGAACATACTCAAGAAAACGCTCGTGTTGCGCAGTTTTGTGCTCTCTTTTCTTCTGTCAACTTATGATCTTCACTTGATCTTCCACTTCCAGTTCCAGCTGATAAAATTCTACAGCACTATTGGTCATCTTATTCTTATAAATATCCACACCAATTAAGGTAAGGAACCATCTTATTAAGTAAGATTTCGCCCCTTTTTTGCTTCAGAACACGAAGGTCCTATGCGGTAAATACATGGTCCTTGCGGGAGCCATATCATCTCATTGTTTCTTCAGTGCAACGAAATTCCTGCTAAGAAGGAGCTCGTGGTCATGGTTCACGGAATATTTGAGAAATTATCCGTCTCACAAACATAGCTACATAAAACTGCAATATTTACACGTTAATTAACGTCTGATTGATTCTCAGATATATCATCTTTTTGTGTATGTGATTTGTGCATATATTTTTACGCAAGAAGCATACTACTTATCATTCCCTCTTCCCAGTAACGTGAGTGACAAGCAAAGCAGGAAAGAAATTAGGGAAACGAAAACATCCGCATGCACTGGATATCTAACTCAAAACACCAAAAACCATGCCTATCTCCATCCTCTTGGTAAGTTGTGCAGGTCAGATCGAAACCAGACGTTCAAAACGCGCGTTAATTCAATCTCTCTTCACGAATCGACCCTGCAACATAGATATATGGAACGATTAATACGAAATTAGTCATCTGAATTAATTACAGAACATGATATAGCACACTTGGTTGTGATGAGAGATTCAGAGTACCTTCATACGGGGTCGTTTTTCGGCATTGAGCTTTCGGACTTGGTATCGGATCCGCTTGGAGTAGAGCCGGTTATGCCTCTTTTCCTTGTATCTCAACACACTGGCCAGTCTTTGCTCCATCTTCATTTTCAAGCTGCCGTCCTCTTCCGGGACTCTCCATAACTTCCCACCTGACCCCTGAACAAGTCCCATGCATTTCAGGTTACAACCCAACAGATGGAACTTCAATATTTAATTAAGGCTTAATTGAATTATCAGTCCCATGGTGTTAGAGTAGTCCAAAGGTAGTCCATGTGGTAAAAAGAATTAGGACACTGCGGCGAAGTATGTTAGGTTTTGGGTCCAAAATTGAAAATTTCGTTAACTCTCTATTAATTATTAGTAAATTAGCCTCACATGTATGACTAAAAAGATAAAGTTAGCATCATTTGTGAGCCTCACGTGCTAACAATTAACCGAGATTTACGTTTTACTCCACTTACTAATAATTAACAGTGAGTTAACAGAACTTTTAATTTTAGATCAAAATTCTAACAAATATCACCACAGGATTTAAATCCTAATTGTTTTTTACCTCATGGGTATCTTTCAACTATACTACCACAATGGGAACTATTAATACAGTTAGGCCTTTAATTAATTTTTAATTTGATCAAAACAAATATTTAATTAACTACCAAGACAATATAATGTTTATTTTTAACCGAAGTGATTGAGTGTTTCATTACTAAGAACATCCAAATGCAAAAAGTGTCAAATACACGAGACCAATTATTTGATATGAAGGTATTTCACACAAAATACAAATGGTACCATTCAAATATAAAGTTCTAGATGAGACCGACCAAAAAGGATCCTCGCTAGATTCTAGGATTCAGTAATCTCATCAGTTTATTGTATATCGTGTAATTAGAAATAATTTTAAAATTTAAAATTAAATATAAATAGTACCTAATCGAAACTGATCGCACGATATATGATAAACCGATGAAATCACTGAATTCCTAGCATCCTAAGAAAGGGATCCGAGGCTCCTTTTTCCGAGACCGACAATATTGATTTCCCACATACAATTTTTAATTGATGATTAAAAAAAATAAACTGTTAGGATTATGACATTTGCATTATTAAACTAAAGTCAATCACAATTTATATTTCACAAACATAGTCAGTGAAGTTAATTTGAAGGTGAAATTACACATAAGGTTAAACAAAATGAATGCACCGATCAACGAAAAAGGGCAAGAAGTCAAAAAATTTCTTACATCGGGAGTACTGCTGTTATGATCGAGCTGAAAAAGCTGATGATCCTGCTGATGCATCGAGTCAGGTACAGTTTGTGGGGAATCTCCTCCATCAATGTACAGTGGTCCCTTGTCGGACCAAGCATTCAATATCTCCTCATAATCCAGCTTCAACGCCAACGACAACCCCTTGCCGTCGCAGCTCCACCGTCGATGACCAACATCCCGAACATCTTCCCCGCTGCGTGTACCAGTAGTACTCGTCGTCGAGCTAGCCAAGCAGTCCTCCTCTCTCTGCCCCTCCACCAACTCCGAGAAACACACCCACTTCTCCACGCTTGTCTCCCTCTCTCTGCTCCTCATCGCCGTCCGTACAATGTCACGCTCTGTTTCTTCTCTATACTCATCCCGTCCCCTGTAGTAGGAAAAGGACTCTGCTTCCTCCAGATCGGATGACATTGTCGACGTGGTGGCGGTGGCGGTGGTGGCGGTGGAGGTTAGGAGGCCCTTGAGAGTGGCGCTGCCGTCAGACTCGAACAGCAAGGCCACGTTCTCGTCCTGTTGCATGTACCCTTTATCTTCAAAATCATTCTCGACCCGATTTTCCGGGTGCAGCGGAAAAAGGTTGAGCTGGGGGCGGCGGCGGCGGCGTTGGCGGTGGTGGGTCTTGGCCGTCGTTGATGTAACTTTGTTGGGTGCTCTGTAACTTTGTCCGTTATCTTCGGAGATGAGGTGGGATCGGAGACTTAAAAACTTGGGTTTTCTGGTTTTTGTTCTGAATTTCCGAGCTGCTAAATGTTTAATCAGTTCGTCTTCTTCTTCATCATCTTCTTCTTTCTTGATCATATCATCAATCATGGAGCTCCTCTGCACATGATCTTCGTGACCAGAAGGACTCTTCTTGTTGCACATCTCTCTCTCTCTCTCTCTCTCAAGTCTCTTGCTTTCTCTCTCTCAACTTTCTTGCTTCCTCTGTTCACTGATAAATCGATTAAATTAATCGCGAAAAGGTTAGAAAAAGAAATTGGAATGTATATTTTGGGGAGAGGCAGAGGAAGCAGAGGAAGAGCTCAGATTTTGACTCTTTGGGAAAAGGTAATGTTGATCATCAGTCCCGTAGAGATGATGATGCTGATGTATTTGCTTTATGACACGTGGGAGGTGGTGATTGGGTGGAGGGGTGGATTGTGCTTTGTTATCCAGATTTCGTTTTGCTGTAGATGATGTGATGATGACTGAGCTTTGATAATTCAACGATGGATTGAGTTGTGTAAAATTTTCCCCTAATGTGTTTAACTAGTAATTGTTTAGTTTCATCGTTGCACTGTTATGTAATATTAAAAGTTTTTAAATGTGTAATATGTTAACGTTTTTGTACAAAATAATTGCACCGCCACGTAATGTTAAAAGTTTTTAAATGTGTAATATAGGAACACCTTCGTACAAAAGTAGGTCAACTTCATCACATCAGTCATTAACAAACCAACTTTTTTTGAGAATCTCTCTATTCGTAGACAACCTCTCACAAGCGTATATCTTGCAATTGAGTTTTACCTAAGCTTTACGATTGATTTGGTCAAGCTGATTAATTGAGTTTAACTTATGCTTTACAAATGATATGGTCAAGCTGATATGTTGAAATTTTCTCATGTCACACTTATATAACACATGAGTTAGTAAAATTAAATGACGTTTAATTTCGCACTCACATTAAAATTTATTTCCAATACAAGATTTGTTGTTGGGGACCAAATGTCATCCATGAGAGGCCATATTGGATTGAATAATGGGGCACTATGAAGTGGTCTTGCTAGGCTCTTTCATGTGCCTTTGATCAATGCTATAGTCTAGTACTCATGGGATAGTTGTGCCTTGTGCCATCTCCAACTCCAAAGGACATTTTCATTTAAGTCCTCGATCAGATCCATCATCCTTGTAGTTTCAAGAGCCCACAAGTCTAATCAACATGGAGCCACAATTCAAGTATCATTCAACTGATCATTGGGAAAGTGTCGATAACTAATTAAAAAGTGTTGATATAATAGTGTTATTTAGGGGACAAATTGCAATAATGATAATTTCTAATAAAGATGAGTTCCGCATACAATGTTGTTGTATTTAGTCTCAATCATTGATTGATTTGAACTAGTATTCAACTTTGGTTTAGACTAGATAACATGAAACTGAATTAAGTGTGATTACAGGTTGTTGCTATTGGCGCTTTAAAACTATCATGATGCACTTTTCCTAGATAAAATTTTCGTTGTGTTTTTATAAATGTGGAGTGCATAATGATTTTTTAGTGCCAATAATAGCTTATTGATTAAATTGTTCAATCAATTAAAATATGAAGGAAGTGTCGATATGATATGATTAATATTATGTTTGGACATACAAAACTGATCAAATTGTTGATTGCCTAATACAGATGAGTCACGCATACAATAATAGGACTCTCTTGTATTAGAGATACAATCAATAATATGGCCAATTTTGCATAATTGAATGACCTTATTTCACATATTTTTGTGGGACAATGAATTTTCCTGGATCAAAGTAAGGCATATTGGAATACTACTACCTTAGAAGTCCGGTCATAGACGCAATGGCTCCAACCATTTTCAAATCCTTAGTCAAAATAGAGAAAAGTTGCAAGCAGAGGTAGGAATTTCCACATGTTTTCCTCTTACTTGTTTGGCACAGTGGAGGGAATGCCAAGAGAAACGACCCACAAGCCATAAGTTAACACAAGAAAGGGAGGTGAATTGTCTACCCTCCCATTTTCATACTTTTCTCGTGTCCTCATGTGATGTGTGGTCACGGTTAAGCCACGTTAACATTTTATATTACCTTTTTATAGAAATAATAAAAAAAAAAAAACAAGAATATAAAATGTTAACCTGATTTAATCGTGATTATACAAACAAGAAAAGCATGAAGATAGTATGAAAATGGAAGGTCACACAATCCATTTCCACAAACAAGTGCTAAAATCTGGGCTTTTGGCAGGCCGCTCTGGCCTCTGGTCTCTGGAAAAGCTTTTGCATTGTTTTTGTGGGTGGGGTCTCTCACTGAAAAAAGTCCTTGCACAAACACACGTGAATAGATTGCTCCCAATTTTCACAACAAGAAATATTCCGAAGGATTTTTTTTTTATGTCGAGAACAGTATGAAGTACACTAAGTGTAATATTACAATAAGAAATTTTTTAATCTTAAGATTGAGTTTTTAGTGTGCCTGTGCCGGTAATAAGATCCAATATATCAAATAAAACAACACAATCAGTACGAAAATAGAAAAAAATTCAACCACTTGTATTATTACATTTGGTATATCCGGCCCACAAAATAATTTCTCAAATATGGCATCACCATCACGACCCAAAACGCTCATATAATTCATTTTATTGAAATTACTATTTTGGGTTCGGGTATGTCACATCATCCGAGTGTCGGTGGGAATGGGATTCCCATTTTGGTATTTTTCTTTTGTTTTTGCTTTTATTTTGCTATTTATGTTTGGGCTTGTAATTTAATGTAGATAAGGCACCAAGTGGATTCTTCTTTTGGGTCACTTCTAACGAACCTAGACTTCCTATTTCTTACAGGTCCAACCCAAATATGTAAACCAAAACAATGACATTTCTTAGAGGGAAACAAGTTAGAGCGAATGTGTTATTATTTCTATTTTTAAGTTCGAATTTAAGTACGTAAGAATCCACTGGCCAAGTAGCACCTGGATTAGGTTAAATTTCTATTAATTTCCTTTCTATTAGTTACTTCTTGACTATTAATGGATTTCTTATGTTGGGCAGCCATAAGAACTAACAGCATCCTATAACCTATAACCTTAAGTGGATGAATAAATATTTTTAATTATTACTTGAGCTACAAACGTTGCAGTCGCTGATCATGATATGGAGAATTTTTCATTGTGACAGGAACTCGGATAATATATCACGTGTTTTTATGTAAATGGTGAGAAATTTTATTTTTTAAGTTATTAATTTTTTAATACACATATCCACATAAAAAGCATATATTTTTGTTACTTTATACCGTGCATGTATGCATGCATGAATTCTCCAAATGTAAATTTTTAAATCAGCCAGGTTTCGAAATCTTTTTTCATCGTGCAATAATTAGCCCATGCAAACAAGATTAATAGGGGGAGGCCCTAATACTTAATGCAAATGCCCTTTCATTAATTATCTGAAAAAAGGGAAAGTGAACGAATGAAACAGGACGAATATGGATCATTCGACGTTACGAACAGTTATACGACTACGTAGGATCCAACATTGAATTAATTAGGGCATAATATGAATGCGCATGCAAGTACTCATGGGGTGACTACTAGCTAATTAAAGCTTGCTTGATTAAAGGGCAAAGAAGGAGGCGGCTGCGAGCACGAGAGCACCAGCGGTGGTAGGCAGTGGAGAAGAAGGTGGGGAGGGCGGCGGTTTTAGAGGGAGCATCAGCGGGAGAGGGTGTGTCCGCAGTCACAATGTCAGAGGGAGCCTCCGTAGTACTGTCACGAGTAGGGGCAGGGGGGGATGCTGAGGCTGAGTCATCGGGGGAAGGGGCGGAAGCACTGGAGGAGGAGTCGGAAGATGGAGCAGAGCTACTGTCGTCCTTGTCCTTGTCCTTGTTTTTTGATGACTTGGGGGAAGAAGCCGGACTGCTGCTACTGTCGTCCTTGGCGCTTGAAGACGGTGAGGACTTGGGAGAGCTGGAGGAAGAGGAAGAAGACTTAGGCGACGGAGATGAACTGTCTTTACCTTTGTCTTTGCCGCTGTCCTTGCTGGAGTCGGGCGAGCTTGCGGAGGATTTAGGTGACTTAGATGAGCTGTCTTTGTCACTGCCCTTGCTTGGAGCCGGAGCAGATGATGACTTGTCCTTGTCTGATGACTTACCATCGTCGGATGACTTGGGGGATGGTGCTGATGGGCTTGGGGCGGATGACGACTTATCCTTGTCCTTGTCCGATGATGATTTATCCTTGTCCGATGACTTGTCCTTGTCCGATGATGATGACGGGGCATCAGATGAATTGTCCTTATCTGATGATGAATTGTCCTTGTCTGATGACGATTTGTCCTTATCTGATGATGAAGATGAACTGTCAGAGTCCTTTTTGTCGTCTTTCTTGGGCGATTCCGATGGCGAAGGACTACTACTCGAATCTGCTGCCATCGCAACTCCGACAATGGCAACCAAGATCAGAGCAATGAGAATCAATTCGCGACGTGCCATTTTTCTTCTCGCTCTTCTTCTTCCTTATGTTTTTGTAGCAAACTTAGGCTTTGATGTGGCTTATAACCTGTTGCGTTAATTCGTTTACTTGCCGCGTAAGGTAGGTTTTTCTCTTGTGTTGAGATGATTAATGAATGGTTATTGCAGTTGTTTGTCACTAAATATATATTTATAGTTGTAAAATATAGAGAAACACTGCGCAACCAAAGGACGTATGTGGATCATAACATGGTTGGAAGGGAATGAGATTTATAGGACTTAGCGTGGAAGAGAGACAGCGTAGGAAATCTGTGGAGGATAAGACACCAGAGTTAGTTTATTCTGTTATGACCTAATGGCTTCTATTAATTAATTAATTAGCTTGTGTTTTAGAAGTAATGTGGTTTCTTGGCTGAGCGGGCTTAACGAATCATGGTTAATGTCACATTTGTACCACATCTCTAATAGAGTTATGATCCATTAACACATGTGAATCTCATTTCTAATAAAGAAGTAGTACAATTGTGCTATGAAAATTGTTTTAATAATAACGTTTTTGTGGTTCGATAATCACAAGGATCTTGAATTTCCATGAAACATTCAGACTTGTGTGTATTTCTACTCATGATTTTGTAAGAACAAACTATATATTATTAGAAATTTAGAAATAAAGATGACAAGGAACTTAATTCCCTTTGTGGTAAGATTTGGTTTTGGCCTTTATGATATGTTCTTCGTTTCTCCTTTTGTGCTTTCATTTACTATCCATATCAGTAAATAGATATTGATTATAATTAATCAAGAGGTTATGTGAGATGTCAGAAGTGTCATGAAGTTTTCAAGTATAAGGCTAAGGAATCATGAAATAACAATCTATGCGTAACAACAATTTATCTAGTTATTGGGTCGAAGACAACTAAGTATAAGGGTTCTAAATATCAACAATTTATATATCATTGCATTCATGTAAGTTAAATTTCGTTTCAACAATGCAACTGCTAATAAACTAAGGACTATAAGTTGGTCATATAGTCGATATAGGCGTTGGGGAGAGATAAACCAATTAACTTACAATAAGGAAATTGTTGTGACAATATTTCAAACCAATCACGCGTTGGCATGTGTAACAAAAATTTAAAACATGTACCATCTTTGTGGTTAGCTGCCATAAAATAGAGAGTATGAGAATGTACGTGACAAGAACACACACAATGTATGACAAAAGAACAATGATGACTAAACAAGAACAGACATACAACTGCACATTGAATTTATTTATTTATTTTATTTATGATTCTTGTTCTTCATGTACAAACTACACACTTCATTTCTTATGATTCTGACAGCTCACTTTGCGATTCACTCTCAATGATCTCGTTTCCTCTTTTATTCTTTGGCTTTTTGTTTGTAATTTGGCTTTCTTCAAAATTTGCGTCTTCAATATTTGAACAACCTAGATCTCTCTCCTTTAATAAATGTCTCTACTAGCTTCTTAGCAGGGTAGGATAAATTTGTAATTAAGGCTAGGTACAAAGAACGTAGGTTGGAGAGAAAAAAATAGGCTTATGTAAAGGCTCAATGGGGCGAACAAGGGAAAAAAAAATAATAAATGTAGGGCATTAGCTTCTATGACAATGATGGTAAATTTCTAATGCTTACTTTCATCACTAAGAGAATGTAAGATGTGATACAATGTCGTGAGGGATCTCAAAGCAAGTTCTAGTGAGGCAAATAACATAAGATTGGATTTGTAAGATGTGACACGAAGTTTGAGAAGAGAATTCCACTCCTTCATATATGACGAAGTTTGATTTGAACCAAATACAAATTCATTTGATTTCTGTTTTTCTTTGATTGTTTCATTGTCAAGTGAAAAATAGGGGTTTTAATGAATATGAATCATGGTAATTGGTTGAAATAAACTGTGTTGAGAACGAGTCTCATATTGATGGGAGGAGATATCTTGCATGGGTTTATAAAAGGTTGGGCTGCTCTCCATGTTACCAATTGGTTTTATGGTGGAACCTTAACTTTCTTCATGGTATCAGAGCAGGTTGCCCTACGTGTGAAGCCAAACGGCCACACGCACTCCACGCCATCCCATTGTATTGCCCATGTGTTAGGCTTGAAAATTCGCGTGGGGGCGTGTTGAGAATGAGTCCCACATTGATGGGAGGAGAGACCTTGCATGGGCTTATAAGAGGTTGGGCTACTCCCCATATTGCCAATTGGTTTTATGGTGCAACCTTAATTTTCTTCAAATTGGAGAAAATCTTTCTCATATTCTTTGTTGTTTTCCATTTGCTTGCAATATTATTAGTCTTTCTGTAAAAACTCCATTAATTATTGTGTTAGTATGCTAACGTGGCACACAATTGGAGCCCTAAGTCCACTTTTATCTGTTTATGCATCTGTAACAAGGTGGTAACTTATTTGTCACTTTTTTCTTTCGACAGCGTTAGAGAAGTTCAAGCTTGATGACTACAGGTGATCGCTAACCGTCAGCTAATCACCTCGAAACTGTCCAGGATAGTGGCGTCGATCCTTCACCAGAACGTAGCAACGCCTCCCGGAGCAAAGTCATAGCGGTCACGTGCGAGCACTCTGAAAATTTCCCTTATATTTTATTTATTATTTTCTTTTATATTTATATTTATATTTTATAAACTTACAACTTTAAATCATTTAAAGGAAGGAATTATTTTGTATAATTCACATGACACCATTTTATTAGAGTTGTAGATCTCATATGTGTGTCATGTCAGCACATTAAAAAAAGAACTAACAGAGAATGACCAAATTGATGTGCGGGTACTCAATTTCAAGTGCGATATTGATTGATTTTGAAATTAAGAGATCAAATGATGAGTTCAGTCAGTTTCAAGGACCATTTGTGATAAAAACCTTACTATAAAAGAATGATAATAAACATGGTAGATGGCATGATAATATCTTAATCGTTGAAAATAACTTAACAACGTAGAGATTAATAAATTGATTAGTTGCTTCATGCATACACGCAGTGTGCAAGTATCGTCCTAAAACAATTTCTGATAACATAAACATTGATACAATCATACATATGTTCCAATTAACTTCCAACAATTCATATAAACTTGATAGGAAAATTGTGTCAGGACTCAGGCGTAGGCGTACATGCATGCAGATTCCAAAACAATTATGTTCACATAAATTTGCTGTATGCTTCTTTAATTCTTATTGCTAACAAATAGCTTACCATGCAATTCGTTTTTCCAAGTGAAAATTCAAGTTACACAATAGTTCTAGTATTCTAAATATAAAGATTAACTTGAAATTAGTACATACTGATCAAATAAAATAGCTAGTACAAAGGATACAAAAATAAAAAATAAAAAAAAATCCATGTCAGGAGAGGACGGAAAAAAAAAAATGCAAAATACAGGTTGATGATCTTTCTCGTACTTATTCATAATTAAGTCTACATATGGAGAGACTCTATAACGAAAGATAAAAGCTCAATCAATTCAATTAATTTGATAATTAGAGGCTCCTCAGTTTTTTATGAGCCTTGAGAGATCATCAGTGGGATAATCCTCCTCAGCGTCCGAGGGTCCCTTAGCTGCGGCCTCGCCTTCTGGGGCAGCCGCGATCTCAAGCGTCTCATCGGTGGCCATGCTTCCAGGAGCAGCTGCATCGCCGCTGTGGGGAGAAGGAGCGGATGATACATCGTTAGCGGGGCTTGGGGCTGAGGCCGGAGTGCTGGCGTCACCACCACTGGGAGAAGGAGCTGACGAGCTGGAAGGTGATGGTGAGGTGGTGGCGTCAGGGGAGGAGGCCGGGGAGGGGGCGGGTGGTGATGCGATTGGTTCTTGTGCTAAAACACCAGTAATGGCTACAAATACTAGGGCAAGAACAATGACTTGACGTCCCATCTTTGCTTCTTCTTGCTTGGTAATACTTTTGTGTCACCTTTTTTTTTGTTCTTTAATTTGCAACACTTCTCGAGAGATGGATATATACCACTGCGTAACCAACGTACCAAATTATGGAGGTGGAAGTGGGTGGTGATTAAGATTAATATATATGAGATTAGTGGGAGAGAGAGTAGGGATTATCTGTGGAGTAAGTTAATCGAAGAGAGAGAGAGAGAGAGAGAGGATATTGATAGTTTAATTTGGTTTTAGAGGGAAGGAGATAGTAGATATATTACGGGTTCTCTTGGCTGGCCGGGTTTAGTGGATCTTGCATGGTTCTAAAATTATTGTTACATTAATAGAAATAACTATTAATGGAAGGAAAAACAAGGATCTTTGTTCTTCTTTTTTCTAACCTTGGGCATTTGGATTAGGGTTTGGTTGTTTAGATAGATTATGTGCCAACCAAGAAGTTAGAACGAACAACATGGACATTAATTACAAGTTTCAAACTATGCTAATTCTGCGAGAAAATGCGAAATAAAATTTAGACCTATGACATAAATTAAATCTCATAATTTTAATTTCCAACTGAGAAGAAATCCATGATCTTGGTGTTTATTCCTTTAATTGATGAAAGAACCGAAGTTACATGCATGGTTTTGTGCATATATAGGAGTGATTTTTTAGTATGCTCGGAATATAGGATGGTATACCACGTGTTACTATACAAATTGTGAGATACCTGTGTTAAAAAAATCAATCTAACAAACTTTTCAGATTTCCGCGCCTAGATATATATATATATAGGTATGTTATCCATATATTTATTTTTATTTCGCGTAATGTCAGAGAGACTAAATTAGCAAACCCAATAAGGTGTCACTAATAAAAAATGAGTATGTTTATCAACGATTAAGTAATAATTCAATCACCAATTCCGTTCACCAAAAAAAAAAAAAATCACCAACTTCCATGTCATTTAGTTTACAAAATTTAGTCTACAAATTGAGTTTCCCTAGCATTACTCTTTTACTTCACACACACCCTTTGTTAATTTTTATCATGTGATATTTTTCAATTCATCCGATTCAACAGTTGAAAATTAAAAAAGTGCGTGAAAAGTAAAAAAATTTGTGTGGATATATATATATATATGAAATTATTTTTTACACAACTTTTCACACAAATTTTTGCAGGGCCAACTTCTTAATGTGTTTTAACAATTTGTGCAATTTATCTTTTAGGTTTTTTTCTCAAATATCATGTTTATCAAAAATACCAAAACTAAAACAATATGACCGTTTATTATTATTTTATTTTATTTTTGACGTATTTCGAAGATTTGATTGGAACTAGTTCGTTAATTCTCCAAATTTGAGAAAAACGAAGTGAGGGGTATTTTAGTCATTTCCAATTTTCTCGACCTTTTCGGTTAACTCCTGAATTGGTTAGGTAGAATTCGATTCCATGAGCGCATAGGTGTAAACGAATCTTATTTCCGAATCAGAATGAAGAAGTTAGAGTCGTTTGAAGTTAGTGGCATTTTGGTAATTTTACCAAAATGCTATAAATGGGAGTGAAACCTCCAGAAAAGCGGGAGGTTTTCTGAAAAATAGGCAGGGGAGCTGCTACTAACCCGTTTTAGGGGAGATTTGGACCCGTTAACCCACAAACTTGACCCGCTTGTATCTTCTTCATCCGAGCTCCGTTTTGGGTGATCTTGGTGTCCATGGAAAGCTCTTAGCGAACCCTACATCTCTGTGGTGTTAGATTTCCCAATTTCTTTTCCATCTTTGCAGTTCGAAGCCACAAATCCCACGACTTTTCCGGCGGTTTTATCATTTTTTCGGTGATTCCGGCAACCATTTCCTTCGAGTGAGGTATGAAACTTCATTTACTCTTCACGGTCTTCAAGTTGGTATGCTTAGTTTGTGCTTTCATATTCATTTTAGAGTTGGGTGTTTAAAACCTTAGAAATCCGGTTTTCTCCGGTGAATTTGGACTCTTTCTGTTTAGAAATTATCGTCGGCCTAGTTGTGAAAAGCGTTTCTCTTATTGAGCTATAGCTATCACGTAAATTTGAGCTCATCTAGTTAATACTGAAAATTCGGGGTTTCTAAACCATCCATCTTGACTACCACCGCGTGTGGTGGTGCGTGGGATCGTTCACGAGTGTTGTCTAGGTTTCAAATGCCTTCTAGTGACCCTGTGAACCTATGTCTAGCTCGGTTTCTAAAAATTCAATTGTTTGGTGTGGTGATCAAATTGGACCTCCACTTGTTTGTGTGATTGACGATAATCCGACTATTGGATCATAATGAAATTTTAGTATGTTATTCTAGAAGCATAATGTGAACTTTGGGAAGTTATGGATCATAAATCTGATGTGTGGATTTTCAAGATCGAATTACGTAGAGTGGTGGATCCTATCGTTGACCGAGAGTTGAATTATGGTCAACATGTCTCGATACGTTCTAAATAATAAAATTAGTACTATGGGAGACTTAAGTGAAGTCTAGTGGGCCTACATTGGTTAGTGAGTGACTTGAACATATGTGATATGGTTATTATCTTGATTTCTTATATTGGTATCATCTGTGAATATGACTTGGCTTTATAATGTGATTTCTATTGAAATGTGATTTTATATATATATAGCCATAGACCTATGTTTATTAAACATGATTTGGCTTGTGTACTGATGATGATAACGATATGTTATTTGACGTGCATATTTTGAAAGGTGGTTGATTTGCATAGATGGTATGATATGATGAAATGTGAATGACTTTAATATGAATATGAAATGGTTTTATACTTATGTTTCCTATAAATTGTTAATTTTATATTTAGCCATCGAGGTAGTTTTATGAAGTAGGATTTGACGTGCATATTGGAAATATGAGGATTTGACGTGCATATTGGAAATATGGTTTGTTTTGTATGATTGGCTTGATTTGATGAAATGTGAGGGCTAGTGGTGGATCGTTAATCCATTGTCATGGGGTTTGTTGCTTCGAAACGTGTTTCATCCCTCGTTTCATTATTTCATTTCTTGTTTCGTTGAGCCTTTATAACTTGAGTAACTTGATTCATGTGTTGTTTCATTGATTGGTGGTTATACATTGTACTCCACGATTCCGTTGAGTGATGGTCCGGAATCGTATCCTGGTTTGGATTCCGTTGAGTGATGGTCTGGAATCATTCCTACTCCACTTCGCGATTCCGTTGAGTGATGGTCCGGAATCGTATCTTGGTTTGGGTTCCGTTAAGTGATGGTCCGAAATCCCTCTTACTTCGCGATTCCGTTGAGTGATGGTCTGGGATCGTATCCACCTTGGGTTTCATTGAGTTTGGATTGAGATAGCTTCAAAGATGTAGGATTCGGCCGAACTGTATTGCTCTAACCCTACTTTTCATTGTGCGTATGAGAATATGGTTGTGAGATATTATGATTGTTTCAGGCAAACCGTTGGATGTCTAGGTGACTCCCTCGGAGTTTTCAAAAGTTTGGTATTGATTTCTTATGAATGATTTATATTCAAGGTTTATAAATTATGATTCATGGATGGTCTTATTATTGTATCACATGCTTATATTATTGTCACTCACCCAAGCCTCGCAGCTTATCTAAGTGCCTGATTTGCCAATGCACCAATCCCATGATGTAGGCATTGACTTTACATAAGACAGGTCTGGGCAGATTACGAGAAACCGCTTGATATTTTGGTTCTGTTGAGTGGTTCGGAACCCGATGTTGTTGGATTCCGTTGAGTGGTCCGGAATCCTTGCTCTTATTCATTCCGTAAGGTGATCTTAGAATCCTACATTTGAGTAAATGGGAATTACCCACAATAGATATTGTGAAAATAAATTAGAATTACCATGTTTATTACTCATAATCCAAGTGGGGAAATATATAGAGTTTCTTGGTTAATTCGTGAAATGTTTTGTTATCACATTGCTTGATAAGCGTAATTAAATGCTAAGATTGTACATCTTGATTCACGAATTGATTAATTGACGGGATTGTGGAGTGACGTTGGATATGAGTGTTGTTATTATGATTATTTTAGTTGATTAATAATTCTAGAGAATAATGTTGTGCTTTGTTAATTCTTTAATATGTTACACGCTATGAAATGTGATTTTATGTGGGAACGTGATGATTTATGTGATAGATGGAGTGGAAATGTTATTCGTCTTGTGGGATTATTATGTTGGATATCATTATTATTGTTATGACCGACTTGTTGATAATTATGGCGAGAGAATATGATTGTGCTTCATCATTAGTTCTTTGAAAGATTGCATGATATTCATTGTGATATTTTGTTGGGACTTAACGACTTATGTGATGAATGTTCGAGTGTACTGAAGTAATGAACTATGAATGGCTTGATCCTTATTTAGGGTACGTAGGCAGTCTAACGAGGATTTAGATGCAACCATAAAGTCTACGAAGAATAATTGTGCAGTCGGATCTTAAGTTATGTTTTACCTTTTTCCAGAGGCGGGGTATGTTAGAGACGAGTATTTGGTGACGTCACGTGTCGATCCTAGACATATGTCGGGATTGGGGCGTGACAACTTTTTTGGTATCAGAGCGTATGTTAGAGACGAGTATTTGGTGACGTCATGTGTCGATCCTGGACGTATGTCAGGATCGGGGCGTGACACCGTTCGATTAAGGATTTTGTAGAACCGTATTCGTCTATTTTTTTCTGAATGTCTTAGACCTTATTTGGCACTTCGTATTAAGCGTTGGATATGATTAATAATATGGTAGCAGTTGTTTGGTGCATTGTCGTACTAAATAAGTACCCCGCTTAATTATACGATCCATCAAATTTAATACGATTGACACTTAACAATTAATACAACCCAAAAACTCGGTATTATTAGTCGGGGCGCTAACTAAAAACACGCTCGATTCTCTTCTTCGGTTTCACGCATCTGCTCCTTGGAAATTCCTCTCCATCTTTATAAGCAGTTCATCAACGAGTTCTCAACCCCAACCGCCACTCCTCTGCAATTGGTCGCTGAACAATTTCCCATCTCGTGTGCTGCTTCCTGCTTTGTCACGTTTCAGTTGTCAACGTCAAAGCACGACGATGTGGACGAAGAGGTAGTTAAGATCAGGAAGCCTGATTAATGTCAACAACAACAGACTCAACAGCTCAATCATCTTCCGCCATCGACAGCGTTGGATCCAGCTCCGACG